AGGAGTGTTGTCGCGTTGTTGGTTGTGTGCGTTATTTTGATGTGTGTGTGCGTGTACATGAATGCGTTTTGTCATTTAACGAGCACTTTCTATATGAGAAATGTCGCCAACCACTTACAGGGGTATACATGACGTCGTTGTGTGCAAAAGAGGGTTGCGACTGGTCACAAGGCAACGACCGGTCGTTCGTGCAGGTAGTGTGGTTGCGGTTGTGGAAAGGACTTTGTGGTCGTTAAGTGATGTGCGGCAACACGAGGTCGTTGCACCGTTGCTAATTTATAAATTTTGGACTTTTTTATTTGTATTTTCATGTATTTCTGGACAAATATTTATGGACGGAATAACAACCATATGCATGCAGGTGTGGCCTACAAGTTGTTGCACTATGCGTTTTGGGAAGTGTTAGTTTGTTGTGTGGCTGACAGGAAGACTCTTTCATTTCAAGCACTCACTTGTGGACGAAATAACAGCCAAGTGCATGCAAGTGTGGTCGTATGATGTATTTTGAAAAGTGTCTGCGAGCCTAGCTTAGTTGGTAAGGCACAAAAGTTGCATTCAGGAGGTCTGGGTTCAATCCCCATTGTCCTTACGTATGTGTCTGGGCAAGTTTTGTGTTCTACCAACTAGAGATAACCCGTTGGCCCTCCAAACCAGCATTAGCAAGACCTTGGCTGATGTTGTTGAGTGCTATGCAGCGACAATATTGGTCATTAGACACCGCCGTGTGGGGTTGGGGGGGGGGTAGGGGGAGGTGCAGTGACTGACCATTGCTCAACTCTAGCACCGCCGATTTCCCCCATCGGCAATGCCTGCCCACCCTTCGTCACCGTGATGAGGCACATGTACAACTTTGCTCTCAAACCAAAGTTGTGGTGCCAACCTACTGAGTGGGCTGGGGAGAGATCCGGGTTGGTTGGTGTTCCCCCGTCCTATACATAGACTAGTGAGGGGATGAGATAGATGTGTGCTACCAAAAAAAATAAAATAGATGAGAGAAGAATATAGCTTACCTTAAAAAAAATAAAAAATAAAAATGTAAGTGTTGCCACGTCGAGAGACTGTTTCCGGAGTGCTACCTGGTCGTGAGAATGTTTATGGGCGGAATAACCGCCAGATGCATGCAGATGTGGCTGGGAAATTGCGGTACGATGCATTTTGAAAAGTGCCTCAATACAGGGTAGAATTGTGAGGTCTCCGACCTCGAGTGAAATTTTATTGCATAAGAAACTGATTTTTTTCGTTAAACCACTAGTACCTCTGCCAATGTTGGGAAATTACGAGGTTTTGCCAGTTCCCGAAGAAATCAGGGGTGGGACACAGGGTCGGCAATGACCCATAAATCTGAGTTTTATAGTGCCGCGAGTAAAAAAAAAAGAAAAGCAAAAAGAAAATGTTTTCTATACTGCAATGATGTCGGACAGGGTAGTCTACGAGGTTGTGCTCACAGTCTTCCTTCAAAGAATGCACCTTACAAGTAAGGTGGTCACATTTTAAATGTTACTATTTTTTTTTTTTTCTTTGTCGTGTGTTTCTTATAAGTCCCCTGCCAACGAGGTAGGGCGGAATCCGTGATTTGCTCAAGCTGTGTTTCGTCAGAGGATTGTAACGCTCATCACATTGATACTTAGGGGAATGTATCAAACCATTTTCACGGTCGGATCCGTGTGCTCGTTTTTTCCCTATTTCTATATTTTTTTTTTAATCCGACAACCTGGCCACATGGATGAGATGTCCTCACTGAGGGCACGCTCACACTACCAGTTCCAAGAATGTATACAACTGCAATCACGACCAAAGCTTTGTTTCTTTTTTATTTATTTATTTTTTACGTTCACGACCGTAATTTTTTTTATTTTTTTTTTGTGAGAATACCCGAAAAAAAACGGAGTGGTACTTAGGCTCGGCAAACTCGGAGCGCAGTGAAATTCATGGTCAGTAAAAACAGGCTCAAAGGTACTAGTGGTTAAAAAAAAAAAGTCTCGAAAAAAATGCCTCATTAAAAAAAAAAAAAAAGTGCCTCGCTCCACTGTTTTTGACGTGGCTGATAGGAGGACTTTTTCATTTCAAGTACTTATTACTGGAGCACTTACTTTTATACGGAATAGCAGCTAGGTGCATGCACGTGTGGCTGAAAAATAGCAGTACGATGCATTTTGGAATTTGAAAAATGTCACCGGGTTGTGAGACTATTTCCGGAGTGTTGCCAGATCCTGAGAGCGCGACTCTGGAATACCTACAACTAACTTTGGCAGAACTGAAACTTTTGGAAAACGGAAGGACCGGTTCTTGGGTGGAAACGAACCCCAACAAAAAGTGGGGGGCGTTGGACCTGTCCTCGGGTGGAAGCGGACCCCCAAAAAAAGTGAGGGCATGTGAATTGCAAAAGAACCCTCATGCCCAGACGTTGAGGCCCGTTTTCTTAAAACAGGGAGGTCAGGCGCAACGAAACAGACGTTTTGCAAGAGGCAACTTTGACGATTTTCTGTGCTCGGAGGAGCCCGAAGAAAAATTTAAAATTTTGAGAATCCATAAAGGAGGTCGTGTTCTTCCCAAAAACAATATTATAACATTTTCAAAAAATTATTTAGACTACAAAATAATTGTCCCGCCAATTCAACACATTTTCCACTTTTGCCACTCAACCATGTGTGAGTCAACTAAAAAAGTACTCCAAATTCAACAAGTTTTCGCGCTCAAAAGAATGAGTGAAAAAACATGAAAATTGGAGTACTCGTAGATCTTGTTGTGATATTTCCAAGAAAAACGCTCAATAAATTAAAAAAAGTCATTTCAATTGTGAAATAGATTACGGCCGCAATTTGACCCATATTTCAATTTTGCCATTCAACCTCTCTCTCTCTCTGTCTCTTTCTGTCCGTCTCTCTGTCTCTCTGTCTCTCTCTCTCTCTCTCTCTCTCTCTCTCTCTCTCTCTCTCTCTCTCTCTCTCTCGCTCTCTCTCTCTCTCTCTCTTTCTCTCTCTCACTTGCGCACGCTCTTAGTCTTATTGCTTTTGCTATTTTAGGGTTGCGCTCCCTGCGCCCACGCGGTAGACAATTCACCTACAAAAGATGAGTTTGCTGCATTCATACAACCCAAAGATGCCTTCTTAAACAAAAGTCAGTCAATGTGCGTTAGAGCCAACTCACGGCGAGACTCTCTCAACTAAATCAGCTGAGGTTGCCATGACCTACATCAAGGAAAGTCCTACCATTTCTACTCCACTAAACTCCAGTCCATTTAGATTGGATTAAAGGATAACAAGTAGAAAAAGAATGTGGGTCAAATCATGAAGTTCACACAAATTGACTTTTGACCCCCATACAGGTTGAAATTGCCAATCAAAGCAATAAGGCTCCATATGACCGCTCAATGAAAGTTGGCATCGATACTTGGCCAGATGCACCCACTATTGGTTAAAGGGGACCCCCACTTTTCGGCCCTGGGTAACCATGAATGATCCTGAAATTAGGGTTTCGCCTTATGGTTTTCTTATAAATTGAGGTGAAAAATTGGGGGGTCGGTTAACCATCTCTCCATTCATTGGGCTACGGACTGAAGTATGCCCGGTAGGCTGTTACTGGATGAAGTTTGAGAAAAGGGTGAACAATGAGTAAAGGAATAGTTTGAAGAAAACAGTTTGGGTAACCGAGCACAGGCAAGACTGCTGGAGCAGACAGAGGCCTAGCTCAGTTGGTAAGGCATGCAAGTGACATTCAGGAGGTCTTGGGTTCAATCCCCATTGGCCTCATGCACCTTACTGGGCAAGCTTGGCACCTGCCACCTACAGATATGCCGGGGGTGGCATTGAGCAGAGACTGCTGATGTTCATAGGGGGAGGGGACCGGAGGGGAGGCACAATGACTGGCCCATCGAAGAGACTCGGTCCTGATGCTACCGGCTGACCCCTGACCGGTATCGCCCACCTGGTATCGCACCTGCTGGTGGGTGCAGCTCCTGCATGTTCCCTCGTTGGAGGCTTGAGCACAGATGTGGCTGCTATAATGACAATAAAAAAGGCCTGAAAGGCCATCCTGTCCAGATTTGACAGGTAATTGAATTGGTTGGGCTTACACCACTAGTACCTCGCCCAGTGTTGGGAAATTAGGAAAACTGGCAGTTTTTCCAAACTCTTGAAAATTCAGAGGCCGGGCCCGACGACGGCTGCCATTGATAAATCTGATCGGCGGCGGTCGTTTTGTTTCGGCCATCGGAAAAGGTCGGAGGCCCACCCGAGGCCCGCTATTTTCCCACCTAGAGAATTAGCCTTTGAAAAAAAAAAAAAAGACTGCTGGAGCCTGGCAGACTACGAAGGCCTATTTCGGATGAAGTTGACACTGGGCCATTCAACTTGGGATTTTTTTTTTTTCATGAAGTTCTGAACTCATGCTCTGGGGCTGGCTACAGGATTCGCCTGGTGTGCAAAATGTGATTGGCTCTCCCTATTCCCTAGAGTATTGCAAACATGCACCGTCCATGCAGCAGTGCCTAAGGGTTACACGCACTGGGCTCGGTGGTGCGGCCGCCGTCCTGGCTGCGCCCTCACGCCCAGCGTGGTATCAGTACCTAGGAGTCGTTTGACTCATCTCTGGACTAAATTGAGGTCGGATGCATGCAGTTCAAACCCCGATTTGGGTCAGATACGTCCAGGAATGTCCTTCTGCGAGTATTCTCATGGCCATTCTTGATGACTCACGAGAACGAGACAGCAGTAGACGAGGCTGCTCCCAATTCGAGTTTGCATCCGGGGCGAAGTCCCATATACCTAAATCCCCGATATCTGACCGTGGATCTAGAAGATCAACGTCTATAAACGAAGAATCCATCCAATTTTCAGATGGACACGGTTTCCGTTGCCCGGCCGTCGTCTCGTTACTGGCGGCGTATTGCCCGTTTGTTTGTTGATCGGCGGGTCGCCGCCTGTGGGTCGTTGTTGCGCGACAGACGGTAGTTGGATGGATTTCGTGTTCTTCGACCGGTCGCCGGCGATCGACGAGTCCCGGCTGTTCCCTCCCTTCCCTGGAAGTAGTGCGGGGGCCCTGATCTAAGGCTGCATGCGTCGGACCGTGGGACCCATTTCTTGTTCTCATCAGCCCCCCTGTGTTGTATCGCGCCGGTCGCCACGTCAGCCAGGACACCGCGTGGCAAGGCAGACGGGGGCTCCCATCCAGCTGGCCAACGCTTTGTGTGAAATCCACGTGTCATCACCTGGCTTTGGCTGATGCTCGGTGATGCGACATCCACGTGTCATTTCTTGCCTTGGGTTTCCTCAAGTGTCCTTCAGCCAACCTGTTCGTTCGCTGCCAGTCCTCCTGTGCTCTCATATTGGTCGCCGACTTGTGTAGTTGTGGGTGCGCGCGCGCGCGTGTATCTGTGTTTTCGTGTGTGTGCGAGAGAGAGAGAGAGAGAGAGAGAGAGAGAGAGAGAGAGACCGTTGGACGATGTGCTGTCTGGCTTGTGGAGTAGGTGTATGTTGTGAGTTGAGAGAGCAGAGTGGGGTAGTAGAGCAAGTGGCAAGGCTTGAGAGGGAGGGGTGGAGGATGCTGGTAATTACGTCGGAGAAGGAAACAACACGAGCTTGAAGTGTTGAGTTATGGCGAAATGATCGTGAGGAAGGTCGAATAGTGAGGGCAGGTCAGGTGGTGAGCGGACAAGGGGGGCTTACATTACGTGTGTACAGTAAAAACGGGTACATGCATCTTTGTTTAAAGACTTGGGAGAGGGATATCGCCGACGTGGTTGTTGAAAATCAACTGGAAAAGTTGGGGCGTAACCATGGAGATTGCCACCAGCGGAAAGGCCATAGATCTGCTGGTGGAGCGCGTTCTTTGTATGAATATTTTATCATCGGTGAGTACCCTGAGCTATATCCGACACTTTTTCTTCCTCTCTCTCTCTCTCTTTCTTCTTCTCTTTACCCTTCTCTTCGCAACAAGTTCTCCCTTCCCTTTTCTTCCTACCTATTTGTGTGACCTGATCGTCTCTGTTCTCTCTCTCTCTCACATTGTCATTTTCTGATTCTGTTTATCCATCCGTCTCTCTCCTCTTGCCATCGCCATCGCCATTCCTTCTTGTCTTTCCTTTCTCTCTACTTTCCCCTCTCTTCACCCTTTCACACTCTCTTATTTTCTATAAGTGCGTTGTGTGGTCCTCTCTCCTTCTCTCTCGTCTCCTTGCCTCTTATCTACTCTCTTTGCCTCCTCTCTCCTCTCTCGCCATCGCCAGTCCTGTCTTTCCTTTCTCTCTACTTTCCCTCTCTTCTCCCTTTC